AATGTTGGAAAATCTCACCATGTTAAGATTGAATAATTGCAAGAAACTAAGAAAATTACCAGCCTCGTTTGGAAAATTGAAGAACTTGTATCACCTGTTTATGGAGAAAACTGCCATTACTGAATTACCAGAAACATTTGGAATGCTTTCTAATTTACGGACATTGAAAATGGCACAAAGTCTCCAGGTGCCTCAAATTTCTGAAACATCAGAGCCTGCTACTATTGTAGAGATGAAGGTGCTTCCATCTTCATTCTCAGATCTTTCCTTGCTAGTCGAATTCAATGCTCGTGCATGGAAGATATCTGGGAAGATACCTGATGATTTTGAGAAGTTATTATCTTTAGAGGTTTTGAATTTGAGTCAAAATGATTTTCACAGTCTTCCATCCAATATGAGGGGACTCCATGTTCTCAAAAAGCTAGAATTATCCCAGTGCAAATTGCTTAAAGTTCTTCCTCCACTGCCCGAGAGTTTGCAGGAACTAAATGCTGCAAATTGCATGTCTCTGAATGGCATTTCTGATCTCTCAAATTTGCAGAATTTGATGCAGATAGATTTCGCAAATTGTGAGAAACTAGTGGACGTTCCAGGCGTCGAACATTTGAAGTCCTTGAAAAGGTTGTACATGGGAGGTTGCAGTTCTCGTGCCTCAGCAGTGATACAAAAACTTAACAAGGTATCCCTCTTACCTGTATGCATGTGGGAATCCTCTTGAAATAAAGGGGTGCCTTGCTGTCAGCTCATAGCAAAGTATTGGGTTAAGCCCCACGGGCGCAACCTTCACGATTACTTGTCATAGTTGAGTTTTAGATTTCAAATAGACTGCCCATGACAAACACGAAAAAGTTGAGGATGATGTTAAGTCAACATATGCCTCGTGCTCTGGGCTGCACAGGTGCTACGACAACTTGGACAGTGGTTCTTTTTCCTCTTCTTGTACTTTTGGTTTATGAATTTGTACTATCAAAAGCATGGATGCAGAGCAATTCAATTTGTTAAAATTTCTTTTTGCAGGTTGCTTTGAGGAATTTACGAAATTTTAGTATCCCTGGAAGTGAAATCCCAAATTGGTTTACTCGAGATGAGGTTTGCTTTTCCAAAAAGAAATATAATGCAATAAAGAGCGTGATTATAGCTGTTGTCATCTCTAACAACCTTCAAGTCGAGCATGATTCAAGATATGATGGGTTGCCTGTAATATTCGAAGTCCAAGCAAAGATCCTGAGAGCAAACATTGCAGTTTACACCCATACAATGAACTTGAGAGGTATCCCTTGTACAGAGGAGGATCAGCTTTTTTTGTGCAGATATCCGGATTATAATCAGTTAGTTTTCATACTAGAAGACGGTGATAAAATACAGGTGGTAAGGCGCGATCCTCCTTATGATCATAGAATTATGTTGAAGAAATGCGGGATTCATCTAGTTTATGAGAATGATGATGATTATGATGGTGAAGAATCATCTTTGAACGAAAATTTACACACCGTTACACAAAGATTAAAGAATTATGTTGAAGAAATGCGGGATTCATCTAGTTTATGAGAATGATGATGGTGAAGAATCATCTTTGAACGAAAACTTACACACC